GCCATTTTCTCATATGCCAACACATGTTGTCACTTTGATTAGCCTCCTCCCTTTCTTTTTGGAATGAAATTTCGTGACCTCAGAAAAATTTGGCGAATGTATAATCAAAACGAGGGAAGGAGAAAGTCTTTTGCGTATGACTTGTTCACATTTTGAGCTGATTTCAGGGACTTGTTTTCTTTTGCTAATTTTTTTTTTTAGAATACTAAGAATTTTATGCTTAGTACATCCGCTCAAGACGAAAACCATAATATTATGCTTACTACATCCGCTCAAATCGAAAACCATAATACTTTAAATGCTTTCTTTCCAAATACCATTAGAACCCGCGAATTTTAAGTTTTGCTAGTTACATTCAAATACGAAGAAAATATTGTAAAAACATAACAAATAATCTCATTCTTATACTCTCTCTCCCCATACTAAAATCAAAAGAATAGAAACCCTTAGTTCCTTAACCAATAATGGCCAGTACCATAATTTTTTCGCCTCGCTCACCAAGAACATACTAAATGCATGTTTAATTTCACTCTCTTCTCATCGTCGGCGTTAGAATTTGTGACTTTGAAAACATTTATTTTTAGGTAGTACTACCGACATTGAATTAATATTATTTTTATTTAAGTGGTTTTGAGTTTAAGAGACGAAAGCATTTGATAAAATTGATGTCTTAAACACAAGTTAAATAAATATTTTCCGGTTTGAAAAAAAGACCAAAAATGAACCAAGAGGCCTAGGTGGCAAGGTTAGATAACATGAAAGTTTTTCTTTCTCGAATCCCTGCAAAGTGCATAGAAACTGAGACATACAAGGAAACAGATTATCTATAGATCAATTTCTAAAAAATCAAACAAATGAATCAATATTAAGGCTTTGATCGGTGATCTAGTAATACAAAACTACACGGTTAAATTAGTAGATTAATCAACAGTTCTATCATTACATTTTTTTTGGTAACCATTTCATTTCTTTTAACTCTAATTTTCTCTTCTTGCTCCTCTCTTTGTTTTACCATTCTGACTTGCATGTCATGGAAAGATATTGGAAAATTACAATGAAATACTATGATTACTGACTAAGCGACATTGATTAACAATTTAGCACGAGTGGGTCGGTTAGCTGAGCGTAAATTGATTAAAAGAAGAAGGGTAAATATGTAAAGTCATTGAGCCTCTCTTCGTTTTCATTACGAAAGAATCTCACTTTTCGTTTCACGACTCTCATCATTTAAATTATAAATCATTGTTGTACCAAAGAACACATCTTCCTCGTTAATCATCTCCTTCCTGGCTACAACTATCTTTACCCGACATTAATTATTCTGTTAACCATTTGGAGAAATCCTAGTCGAAATATATTTATCACATCAATCAAATTTGGACCAATATTCATTAATATAGCTAAATTGAATAGGTCATCCTTCGCGCGTACATTTTTTAAAAACTATGAAAGTTCAAATTTTTGGTCAACAATCTCTTATGGTGTTTGAAAACAGCCATTGATAGTACCCCATTTAAATAGTAAATTACCCTTTTCAAATGAAATTGAACTAGTGATATTGAGTAATCATGTTCAAAACAACTAAACCACCATCCATGTAAGGTTAAAAAGGTTTCAAGTATTTTGTTCATTGTCTTTTCAAACATAATATTCACCGTTTCTAGTTCATGTGGTAGATCCACGTGACGTAATTTTTCTTTCTTTCCCCAACTCGACTTTTCATTCATACTTCTAATCCTAGATTCAAACTGCATACTATTCCTAAGAATAATATACGTAACCATTGGTCCTTTATTTTTATTTTTATTTTTGGTTAAAAGTCCTTTATTATGTATTCTTCCTCTTTTTGTAAGTATTATGTTGGGAGGTAGAATATGAAGTACAAAACATGTCCTATATTTGTGGACGCAAGAGAAAAAGGATCATGTCAAAGGTATTTATTGACGTTTTTATCGGTGATTAAATAATTTGATGCTATATTGTTCTAAAATACTAGATTCTTTTCCATCCTTTTACCTTGGAAGAAGAATCTCACATATTTTGACTATTTTGAAATAATTTGACTTAAATCATTTTTATGGCAAATGTAACAAAAATGTCGTTAATTTTGCTACACATGGAGCATATATATGTTGGATGATTCTTGTAAATTTAAAAATATTTTTTCTTCTTCTAAACATTCGATAATCGTATAGTTTGCTTTCTCGTTCGTGAGACTACATAGTATATATATTGAATCATATAGATCAAATAGAAAAATTTATAGAGATACGACCCATATTGTATTGAAGCAATATCAACATTGACTATTGTCATATATGGATGTTTTAGAATATTTTTTATTAGAACTTTGAATAAAAGAATTAGTCATGTAAAACTAGTTATAAGAGAAATCGTAATATCCAATTTCTTCTCCTTTCAAGGCATACTTTCTTTTTTCAACTCAATCAAATATAACATAATTCATTGCTTTCTGATAAACCTACCCAAATTTTCTTCCATATAAATAATTGGGTGATATGATGAATCAGACCAGAACCTAAACCATCCAATTAGTAGAAAAATATTGTTGTTAAACATTCTTAAACTAATGATTAAGTACCATAGGTTGTACCTTTTACTGTTTGAAGAACGTGAAGACATAAAAAAGCTTTGTTGAGAATGAAAAACAGACCAAAGTGGCTATTACCAATAGTCTATTCCTTCACATGACCTGGTCGGATTTTTTTCCTTCTTATTTCCAATCTTTACGGTCCAATTAATAAACTACTTTCGCCGAAGTTAAAAAAGTAAATAATTTATTTTTTATTCTTAAAGAAATTGTT